GCTGCATTGATGAGACACTTCTAGAAGCGCCTCAACCAGGCATCGGTAGGAGCACAACCGACTCTCACAGTGAAATCAGTCGTGCTGGTCGTTCACTTCTTTTATGGCAGGAAAGGACACGACTCTCTATAGTAAAGGTCAGATGAATATGATTTGCTCTTTGGCGCGAAATAAATGAGTAGAGCAGCTGTTGGCGAAAATTGTTTAAGGCCAAATATCAGGTCAAAAATGCCCACCGCTGCCTTTCCGCAGACAGAGAAGAAGATGGAAAGCGTTCACTGCGTGGTAATGTATATTTCAATAGCCCTTATGCGAAGAGATCGCGGTGCTGAAGCGCTTACTAAAAACAAAGCGGTCTATGCTTTCATACATTAGGCTGTCACGCGTAAAGTTCTACCTGACGAAATGTATTCCAATGTAGCCATATTGGAAAAAAGTTAATGACGGACAGCTTGGCTATATTTACCTTGGCATACGTAATGCAGACAGCAGAGAAGCAGGCCATCTTTTAATATATCTACGAAGACCAAGATACCGGTATAACCGGACGCGACTTAACTAGCAATTCGCGGAAGCTGGTAGACTGGCCAGGGGGGCCTGTGCACGCGGTAAAGTTTTTTCTTATCTACACATTTGATACATGTGCTCATAAGAGCTACTCCACTCGTACACTGGGCAACAATTTATTGCGCTCAACGAGGCATGTATCTGTTTCTGCCGTTGTTACTCTGGTTAGTATCAAGCGTCTCGTGAGAAGAACGGGAGGCTTTTATCTTGCGTGTAACCACACTTTATGTCAGTGCTGCAGTATTGCAAGCCATGGATGACGACAGCCGCGCTCCTCACTTAAGCGTCATATGAGCAAAGTAGCCTCATGCCATCCAACCTTTCAGTAACGCAGCACATGTTGCATCTAATCCATACGCCGTAGGCATCCCGTCCTAAATCGACGATGTCGCCTTGGTGACAAGCAAAATGCATGGTCGCAGCGACACGAAAACGCATCGCTACTACATCCAGCCAGTCCGATTTGCACCTTACTTCAAAATTATATTACAAACAAAGGCGAACCGTTTGTCAATGATTTGTGAGAGATGTGGCAACGGCATCTCTGTGTGTAACGACTCATGATCTGCACAGCTAAATTAAAAAATTGTCACTGACGTCATATATGGTCAATATGTATTTGTAGGATGCATAATCGAGGCACTTACAATTTTTTCCTCAGCCATGAAAGCTGCCTCTTCTACAGCACTCAACATCAATTTGCGTTCTTTTAATAGAGATTGGTAAGAAGTAGCCCCATGCCGGCGTAATCTGCACCGTACTTGTGCCAAGTGGCTTTTAGACTATGTCACTTTAATAATTTCCATTGAACCTTTGACACTGACCAATCTTGATCGTTGCAAGACTTGCTCGCAAGTACATGCTTTCACATTTTTTGTTTAGAAAGCGGATTAATTCAGCACCAAAGCCGCACTTAAATACTTGTCTGTATCGGCGGCTAGCATAAGACATTTTTTGTTTAGAAAGCGGATTAATCCAGCACCAAAGCCGCACTTAAATATTTGTCTATATCGGCGGCTAGCTCGAGGACTGCTCGCATGTACTTGGTGTGGTGTATTTCATCCGACTCTTCGTGCACCGCGACTATGAATCGTAAACGTTAATTTTGTGCATAGTCACAATGAGTCCTAAGCAACTGCGTCTTATGATGATGAAGCGTCACCGGCGCGCCAGGCAGTCCTTGTGCCCAAAGCAATCGCTCATAGCTCATTCCACTGGATGTACTTCCCAACAACAGAAGTGATATCGTTATCTCGCCTGATTATAACTGTTAACTAGGTTGAGGAGTTTTGCCGACCTTGCTGATCTGCAGCACATCCAACCAGAAATTGACATTTGCACTGGAATCACGGCTACATCTAGCTTATTATAATCATGCGCGATTCGTCACATGCCAAAAGCCCTCCTGACTAAAATTAGGAATATTTACTTTTTGTCACACTCTCGCATCGTACTTCGCGCGGAAGAAAGCGTCAATGACGACGAATGTTCCCTCGATAAGAGCCATAGTCATGCGACGTAGTGTTTGGTCTGAAGACTTAAGTCACTTAAATGGCGCACCCCTCTATCTCCGATGACACTCGCACCACTACGTCTTGATATCTTTTGGAACTGACTGGCAAAGCGTCGGTAGTTTTCTTGGAAATAGCTGTTTTAATTGTGATCAGCGAGTGTCCTAAGTGCTAAAGTTTTTATTTCCTGCGACACAAGCAATTTGATGACCTCACCAACTTGCGGTTTCTCGAACACTCCATAAAAGTAATTTTTCAGGTTGACAAGAGTTTCTACCATATAATGTGAGAATAGACTTACAACCCCCGTATGACTGCTCAGGTTAATCTGTTCGCGATTGCAAAGTCTTCTCGCCACTTACCCAGAGTATCTGACGCTCTTTAAGGTGGGCATAATACATATTCGTATTGACTGAGCAATAACGTCACATCATGACAAGTGTGAACCATCGTTATAACATCAGAGCCCAATCCTACATATTTCGACTTACAGTTGCATGCCGCTGCCGGCTTTGACAGCAAACTGAAATCTCACCACCGACATACGACACACTGATGCTCATTCTCGTCTCAGCAGAAGTTTAATCGCTACTTTATCGTAATACTACCGCTTCTATCATCGTAGCCTTATCAACGTACTCAGAAACATTGTAATTCATCATTTAAGATAATCCAATGTCCTGCACCTAAATTATCGCATTTTCGCGCCCACGTCAATAGCGCTTCTGGCAGAGGTGGGTTAATGACTCACCAAATTTCGTGGAATCGAATCGAGTGGTATCTAAGATTCCAGCTTTTTGTCGATCACTCGGACATGTATTTCTGACCAAACTACCCATGATTAGGACGTCATCATATCTCGATCTGATGAGTTTGGAGGTAGATCTTGGAGTCATATCTCCATCTGACGTCTAGGAAGCGACGGCGTTCCATGCTATCAAGGGTCTAAGTTAAAAAAAAATCTGAAAGAGCTTCCAAATTTATCGATGCACCGATACAGTACCCGTTTCTTAGTGCATCCGCATAGTATCTGCTATTTTAACAGTCGCGTAAGAAACGGTATTGCACGATGTTGTAGAATCGATCAAAGTCTCATATGCCTCCATGAGAACTGATATGGAGATCTTGACAACCAACAGCTCTGGGCTATGAGCCCTACTTTTATCAGAGAGAGAATCACTTCTATTTCAATTGCATTCCAATCCCGCAATTTTTTCAGAGAGATAATAGAATTCACGGTATACTGGGACATGACGTTTTTCCGCGAGGGGGTCAAATTGACTACATTGCATGGGATCCCGACTATTCTACCGCTTACTTGAATGATAACGGCGCACATAAAATACATATGCTTAATACTTTCGCAGAGATCAATCTGCGAATAGCTTGACATATACAAGATTTGTCGTCATCCCCAGCATGGATAGGGATCATCGCATTTGGTGCACTCGTATAGTTTTATATATCATACTCAAACCAGCTTTTCGCGACCCGGAAGTTGTACTACGCATTATTGTGACATCCACCGCATCCTCGAAAGCGATGAGGTGCGTGCTGCGCATGTTTGAAACGTTCCATGAAGACAATAGCAACTACAATCGCGGGGATAGGTCTGCAGCCATCTGGACAATGAGTCATGCAGCTCCTGGACATAGCCCGCTAAGTCTCGCCTTTATTGACAGGCGTCCAAAAATTTTAATCATGCTAATTAGGCGTTGCGAACACCCGCAAAGAGTACAACTTTGACGTATTGCATATCGGCGACGCCTTTTACGACTGAGACACAGTTCGTAAGTGCCCATATTCTCGCGCAGCCTACTTGTTTGGAGATTAATCGTGCAACTCGCTGTGACTTGTTTTCAGTATTTTTAATCGTTCTTGCGCATATTTTTTTTCGTTCTGCTCTCGATGGGTTTCACAGTGGAAGTCGGCTGTGCTTCCTCCGACGTCTGAGAGGGATATATGCTGACGAACGCCCCCACGCGATTCATTACCGCTTATGACCCTTCGGCTGCCAACTGCCTTATCTCATCGGAACTTACAATAAAAATGAGCTTACCAAGTGTTTCTGATTATTTCGGGCAGCGATTATTGAGCAAATCCTGTTTCATGCCTACTGAGGATGTAGTCCATGAAGACTCGATCGTTGATTTGAGTACTATCAAGTGCATTTAGATCGCTGCGACCTTGCAAAGATAAACTTTGACTCATATGGTCACGGTAACAACGCACACGCTCCAGAACCGAGAGCGACTCAATTTTTAAACTGTTGTTTCTATTTGACAAACTAATACTTGTTTCACTACTGTTCAACCATAATTCTTAATTTATTGCAAGAATCTTCCTCGTCAGTAATATATACAATTAGTACTAATCCCTCTGAGTTGTAATTTGTACGTACACCATACGGTACGTACCTCGTTACAGGCTACTTTGTGCTATAAATCGGCCATTTTAATGTCCGGATATGCAGTAAATATCTCAAATAGCAAGTCGAGATCAAACTTTCGACATTTGAGAGTGATAGTGAGCACTAAAATCAAGAAAGAGTTGGTTTTGCAAACTTTGTCTGTTCTTCATTGTAACTGCATGTCCAAGCAATTCGTAAGCCCACAGTAGAGTTGATCGTTACAAAAATAAGACGGAAAGAAAAATGCCGAGGTCATACCGGTATGAGTCAAATCATAGTGCCTGCCATATGTTATGCTCTAAACCAATCAGCGCATGGCTCCGTATTTCTTAAGTCTTGGGGTATCCGCCGCACGTTCGCTCCTGTCTCTGAAAGTCACTTTGCTCGCCTATAATCGCATATATCGTCACTGCAGCGCGCTTTCTCTTTGCCTGCTGATTACTTAGCGCGACAGACTCGAAAGCTTGCGCGTGTTTGATTGTTTGATGACCACTGTGGTGCTTTCTCCACCAATGCGACCCGCGAGCTCGCCCGCTACGGTGCCCAGCAGCAATAAAAACAATCTTTTAAGTGTCGCGGCTGACACAGCGTCGATTAAAGAGACGAAAGATGCACTACTTTCCGATTCGGACAGTCCCACAAGTACTGCAGTCGATTTGACGATTAATCAGATAGAAGAAGACCTTCGACCAGAGAATGTGGAGGAACAGGAGATTGAGTGGGGAGACGATACCGTTAAAGACGAGATCGTTAGCGTCGACCCTGAGTCCCTGAGCAATAAAAAACGACGGAGAGTGTCGTTTGAATGTGCTGACATTGTAGAATTTGAACCCACAGCGTACACCACAAGCGTCACGTCCGGCGGAGTGCCCGTAGGTCTGTCGCTGAACGAGCGATCTCGATCACGACGACGATTGGACTCTTTCGAGATGGAACGAGTGAATGTGTACGTGGCGAAATTATAGACATTTGTGTCAGCTCTTTAATTGCTTGTAACTGTACAGACGTGTGGGGCGACAAAACTATATGGAGGAAGGGTATCTGGACCCACAAGAGCGTGAAGTTATCCTGAATAATGCAGGCTGTGAAGAGCCTGTCATTGCATCGGCGGAAGCCGAAGTGAATGCTATTATACAGAACAGACGTGAGTCAAATGAGATCGATTTTGACTTTATGTATGGCTCCAGCGAGATCGAGATTTATGAGGCGGATGAAGAGATAAACGTCTTGTCCTATGATCACGATGTCGGTACACAACACGAAGAGCAACAAGACGTTGCGTTGGTCTCATCAAACGAGCGCACAGATCAGCTGGAGTCGTCGAAAAGCATGGCACAATCATACCATGAGGATTTGTCAAAGGCAGCATCATTATAAAGCTGGCGTAACTCATTACCCTCACCAGCGATTACGCACAGGTGCGCATATGTTCATACCGGTATAACCGTCTCGTCGTATTTTTTTCTCCGCAATAATTAAGTCATAAATAGTCAAACTATTTCTAAGTGGTAGGAAATTCTAACAATAGTAGTTTCATTGACAGACACTTAACCTTTTTTCCTGCTGCGAAAGATGTCGTTTTGTAATGTTTGCCATTCCTAGTGACCTTAATCTCCAAGATTGCTGGGCTTTACATATTCAAATTTAGAATAGAGAGTATCTTCACTTTTGTAAAAGTAGTAGCGTACCGGTAACTACCGATTAATAATGCAAGAAAGTTCCGATCTTTGTTTAGTTGGTGTCAAGCTCACACTTACTGGTAGTTGCGTCGCTATCTCTCAACGCGTTACGACTTGTAGCTTTCAGTTACTAGTGTGACACATACAAAATGACTACTACAAGTGACGTTCCCCACAAGCTCCAACGTGCAAATTGTAGGTTACTTTATCGATGATATTGTTTACCTGCCTCATGATTGAGCTGATTTTTGACTGCTAACGACCCTGTTAGACGTGAAGGCAAAAGACCTTACACCAGGATCTCATGGACATAATTTGGTACTTCAGGTAGTTTCTGTTGCTGCAACGGTAGAAAAGAAGCGCTATGATGGCTCTGTCTCGCGCATTGCCGAGGTGGTGCTAGCGGACGAGACTGGATGTGTAACATTTACTGCGCGGAATGGTATGTAGCAATGTAGGCACTGGAAAATTTATATTGTGAAGACTCAATAGAATTTTTGTATTTGCAGACCAGATTGATATGCTAAAAGAAGGACTTGTAGTGGTATTACGCAATAGCAATGCCGATATATACAACGGATTCATGCGTTTAAATGTGACGTTATGGGGAAAGCTGTCACTACATCCGGACGGTATTGAATCAACGCCGCCACCTCCACCCAGCATTAATACGGACAACAATATCTCTGCGATTGAATATGAGCTAGTTACGGTAAATGACGCAGACGAGTGAGCACTCACCGATGCAGGAATAGGCTCAATGTAATTGCGTTTGACGACCATAAGTTGAAACCATCTTTTTTTTGCTACCATTTTGCCTGATTTGGGTCTATTAAGTCTCGCAGATATGTCAGTCAAGTACATATTCCGCATATGTAAGACTGTATTTTCTTATATTGCAAACCTTATTATCATATATGACACCTCTTTGATAACAAATATACAAGGGCACGCTCTACAGCCAATAGTTTGTAGGTCTAATATGTCGTTGATATTATTCCATCCATTGTCGAAAGAACTTGCAAACTAATAGTCAGCCATGGGTGTCCGTACTAAGACCGTGAAGGGATCTGCCGTTAAGATTATTGAAAAGTACTATTCGCGTCTCACTCTTGACTTTGATACAAACAAGCGTGTGTGTGATGAGGTTGCTATCATTCCATCAAAGCGTATGCGCAACAAGATTGCTGGGTACATTACGCACCTCATGAAGCGCATTCAACACGGTCAAGTGCGTGGCATCTCGCTCAAGCTTCAAGAAGAAGAACGTGAGCGTCGTATGGACTTTGTCCCAGAAGTCTCGGCTATTGACGTTGAAAACATCGAGATTGATAACGACACGAAGGACCTTTTGGCCCACTTGGACCTTAAGCTGTCTGGTGTGCACGTGCCACAGGTACGATGTGATTTGATACTAGAAAATAATATGACAATGCTGGAGCCGATGATAGCACATACATGTGGTTGAATCGGTGGACCCATTACAACCGAATTGCCAACGCAGTATTTGCTGTGTTTGGAACTACGGGCGTTATGCAACGATCAGAGGTTCTTTTTCATATCACACGCATTGCAACATAGCAATGCTGTAATCATCGGCTCCCTCTGCGTCAATTCATCCTTAGGATGATTATGAGGTCTGAGCGCGTACACTAACGTAATTCTTATGCTTATTGTAGCCTAAGGCCCGTGAGCAACAGCACCACCAACGTAACTAAGTGTCGACCAACTTAGGTTTAAAGGCAGAGTAGGACTGAATTAAAATTGTTTGCTCTCTCGATAATCCCATGGATTCATTCCTTAACTTTCTTGCAGTCATTTTATTAGTATCATTCAAAACTCGGCACTTTGCTTCATTATCATGAAAAATTCGTCCATATCAATTGCCCCATCTTGATTCTGATCAAACTCGTCAATCATCGCCTACAATATAATGTAGAACGAATGAGATAATCAAAGCTAATTGTTCTAAACTTGCTTATGCATCATTAACCTGGAGCTCATCGTCGTCAAGATTTTCACCCAGTTCTTTCGCTACTTTACGCATTTTCTATAAATCACCACGAATAGTAGCATGCATCAGTTGCCCGTGACATGATAATCATCATACAAGTAAATCATGTCAACACACGCGTAAAGTGATTGCACCCGATCCATCTCCATCAAATAATTCGAACGCCTACTCCAAAACGAACGATTAGTCAAAATTTCAGGCAATTTCTCTGTTCAAGTACGTATAATTGTGCAGTGATCGACCAAAACGTCGTACCCGCGCAATCTCCTCGTCTGGATCTCTTGCCAGCACCTTTCGCCGCACTATCACATTAACACATTGCGTCAGTTTCGTGCAATTTTTAATTTCTGCTTCCACTTCTCCTACTAATCTCCATATAATCATTGTAGTCCACACGACCACTTCGCTGCACGTCCACGTCTTCCACAAGATCCATCACTTCTTTCTTAGACACTTGAAATCCCAAAGCACGCATTAAGACTTTAAGCTCATGATAATCAATCGAGCCCACTTTGTCTGTATCAAAAAGCTCAAAAGCTTCTCGAAGCTCCTTCTTTTGCTCCTCTGACACTTCTTGCTTTACTCTGCGACCGGTGCGAGTATTGCGCGCATTATTGGAAACTCTAGATGTGCGACTTGGTGGATATGAAGACATAGCACCGTCTCCACGGTCATGATGGCTACGATGCACACGCGATGAGCTCATAGAACTTGGTGACTCTTCACAAATATTGACTAAAAACTTCAACAATGCTTTGGATTGGTGCAAATTAATAATTTATCATCGCTAATATTTCACACCAATTAATCAGCTTAATGCAGGATGCAGCCTTCTCGACGGGCGTGTCAATTCAATATCCAAAGATTCAAGCTGCAAAGACTTCAAAGCATCAGAATGAAAGAGCGGATTCTCCATTTCCATTTCCAACGGACACAAAAGTTTCATCAGAGCGTGAGGATCGAATTGATACGAAAGCTTATAGCATGTGTCAAGAACTTGCATACCATTTTGTGTGTAAAATGACACGCGATGCTGTGCAAGATATACTGCAGAAAAGCAATGACACAAGCTACAACCAAGTATTAACATTTTTGCAGACATTCTGTACACAAAATGCGTCGATGACAGCAGCAAACGACTCAATGATAGAATTGTCGCCGTCTGGTCGTCAACAAAATGATTCTAATACACCTGTGATACAATTTCCAGCGTTTCACGGATACCCTACAGCTTCAATTATTGCTGGAACTGATGCAACATCGAGTGATCTATGGATGAAACCACTTATGCACAAGCTGCAACGAACATTTCCTCTATGTATCATATTACCACGAGATGTAGCAACAGCAAGACGACTTATTGAGTGGCTTGCTGCGAGACTGGCATTATTGATTGCTGCAAAGCAGCAAGAAGAAAAATGGCTTGAGGAAGTTGTTGAAACGTTTGATATGTTGCCACCAAAGCTTTTGGTTAAGAAACCCATTAGACGGATGACAAGGCATCATGACGCTATGAAAGAAAATAAAGAAAGTGACATGAGTGATGAAAATTTTATCTCAAGTACGGAATCAGAGCAAAGTGATACTGACTGTGCATATGCTTCAAAGAAAAAGAGAAAAAAGCAACGTCGTGCTGCTCCTGTGGCGTATGGCCGATGGACAATGTCAAAATTATTGGTAACAATACAAAATCACATCAATGAATTACTCGCCTCAAATTGTGGAGACACGAGTCGTGAATATATAGCAATGATAGAAGAACTGGTACAAACTCGCCTTGATGAAGTATTGTCTCTCGCACGAAAGAGTCGCGACAACGAAGACGAGATAATAATTCAGATTATTACATGCTTTGATGCAGCACTTTCGTGGCTACAGACAAAACTCACGTTGTGTCGAAACACAGCGGTCAAGCTGCTAAATGTAGCGTCTGAATCCAAATTTTCGACTTCAATTTACATCGGCAGCACCGAAATGGCATTGGCGCTTATTCTCCAGCGTGTACTTTGTCAATATACGTCTTTTTTGGATGATTGCAAGATAAATGCACCAATATTAATTGATCGACGAAAATTAGTCAAGAAAGAGTTAATCAAGCACAGAAATTACTATTCGTTCAGTGATGAGGGACCACCGCCAATCATGTCAAAGTTTTCTTTTCAGCCATTCCTCGTTTTATGTATCGAACAGCTTGAAGTCTTCTCACAGCAAGTATTCGGCGATTTTCTTGAAATCTGGACCCATTTTGTTCGACACCATCACGATAGGCACCCTAATAATGCTACAAATTGCACTCTCGGATTTGTTATTGGAGTTGCGTCTGCAACATCTCCAGCACTCCGACGTTTAAATCTTTCAATCACAAACTGTTTGGAATTGCAATTTTTTTCGCTCGTGGATTCACGCAAGTGCTTTGACGATATCCTTGAATCACTTGTTGTCAACGCGAAGTTGCCACTTACACTCAGCGGCGATGTGTTACAAGCAATAGCGCGTCGCCATCGTATTTTGCCCAGTGTACCTCGTCTCTTGCTTGCTTTACGATTATTGCTTTTCACGCACTTTCGAAGCTATCCATGGAGTTTTTTAGCACTTGCTGTTGATATTGTTGCATCTGCAGGCGAGTCTCCGATACTATTTGCTGCCGAAATGACACATTTACCTTCTCGAGTATCAATTTGGCTGAAGCGACAACGTTCACGTGTATTTCGTAAAACAGAAGAAAATGGAACGAGTCTAGAGTCGAATCTTCTTTCATGGCTCACTTTTTGTAGTGATTTCGAGCTGTCTGACTTGTCGACAAGAGTGTTTTCCTCCGACATTGTAGATACAGCGAAAAATTGGACGAAAGTATTGGAGTTGGCGCTAGAGTCGGAACGTCGACGACGACGTCGTTGGCGATTGGGGTGGGAATGTTTTCGCACCGCTTGTTCTTGGTTAGATGTGCGTCGTGATGGTAAAGATGGTGAAGATGTGGTCGTTATGCATTTGGCTTTAGCGCTTGATGGTCGATTAGGAGAAACGCCAATATTTACGGAGATTGTTCGACGTATTCAGACGTGTCGATGGGTTGTAACAATAGGACTGATTCAGCAATGGAAAAATTTATGGAGTGTCTTTGGATCCTCTGAAGATGAAATAGTAGAAAATACGCTCAGCGAATTGGCAACATTGTGTGCATATGCACGAAGCGAAAAGACTCGTTCTGAAATGCTGAAAGCATTGCGAAATGAAATTGTAACAGTATTTAAAACGCGTCTTGTCATTGCATTGCTGCAGCCGCGTACGCCAGATAAGATGTCAAAAGCGGAGTTGTTGGTCTCGTCGTGGTCAGTTCTCAAAGACGCCAGTGTATTGGAAGATCGATTGCGTTTTGAGTATCATGATCATCTTCGCAATGTACTACAAGAAGCTGGTATTGGGGATCAAATTGCCAATTCAAAGTGTGAGTCATCGTGGGTACATGACATTGGTTTAGCCTTTCTGTTTTACCAAGAAAGTGCAAGTGCGAGTCTGAGTCTTTGTGAATGGTACGAGAGTTTCTCATTTGAGTTAGAGCAAGAGTCGAACTCGAAAGCAGATACGAGTACAAAGAAGCAAAAACTCACAAGGTTTCGAGACAATCCAGCAATCAAAGCTCGCTTTGTTCGTGCAGTATGTACTTTACGGCATTGGGGATTTCTCAAGAATGATGCTCCTCGTGATTTGGAGCAAGATATAATTGAAAAGCTTGTCTTTATCTAAAAAAGAATAGAAATCATATTGACTAGTCAAATATATTGGTTGATGTTGTTATAGTGACGATAAAGCTTTTTGTGGTTTAGTCGTCGCCTCGCTCAATGGCTACAATACACCAGACAACATTTCATTAATTAGCAAAGATTAAGGAACAATAATTGTAACGAGAAGGACATACCGCCCGTGTTATAGTGCAACAATTTCTCAATCAGATCCACGTGTGTAAGCATCATACGACGACAGCAGTATCGCTTGAGTGACAGCTCATCTAGCGCATCTCTCTCGGTATAGTCAGCGCGTAGTAAACCCAAGTACGTCTCCCATTTATTAGCCAGCACCTTGCCGCACGTAAAGCACCGCACTGGGACTATCATTCTGATGTCCGCAAAAGCGAGATAATACCAACCAATGATCTAACAGAAAGTTCTTCTCTTTAATTGGGTGAAATCAAAACAATAAATATTAACGAATGAAAAGTGTGAGAGTCAATTGAGAGACGAAAGAAGTTCGGGTGACGATGGTTGTGGTGGAAGAGCAGGAGCAACAGCTACAAACAGCGTGTTTAAATTGGGATAATAGTGTTCATCAAATCAAAAATAATTCTTCAAAATTGCTACAAAATGCACAAAGATATGGCATTGACACGATGCAAGTGGAACTTGATACAACAGAATGCAAAGAAAATGTGATAAACCAGACAGCTACGACACTCAGCATTGATTCAGAAAATGTGCTTGTAAAGAAACGTTGTAGTGACTCGTTAGACAACGACAAAGACTCTAACAAAACTACACAACATTCGTGTCTCGAAAATGGGTTGAGCGATATAGCAGAGACTAATGCTACAGGAAATGAAACTGTGATGGATGTGGGCGTTAACAATGAAATCGAGTCAGTGCCTATTTCTTGTGATGCTGAAGACGACGTCATTACGCAGCAGTTAAGCACGGATTTAGCAGCTTCTACGATTGGAAAGCCTATGGAGATGGCATTAACTAGCGAAAAGAATGCTGAGATGCATATTGATGCGATAAATGATTGTACAGTGCGTGATGCTACGGTTGCGATTGTTCTTGATGAGTTGGTGACAACATTGGTAGATAATGCAGCGGTTCCAGTGAAGGACTTAGTATCTGTCGATGCTGCTGATGTGAAAACCCTACAAAGTCCAGTCATCGCGCACCTAAGTGCTGACGAAGCTATGGAATTAATTGAAGTGCACGTAGACGAGGAGATGCTACCTGATCCCAGTGCTGCTAATTGTGATGTCATGATTGATAGTCGTAATTATCAGTGGTTTGATGGAGAAGAGGATAACGAAGAAGGAGAAACAATAGCAATAGGACCCTCTCTCCTTAGCATAACAAATGATGGAACTGATGATGTCTTTGGTCTTGAAAGTATCGATCTTGCAGAAGCAAAATTGCGACTCGATGACAAAGACGACGTTGATAGTGACGGAAGTGGCGATACCCTGGTCATAGCGACAAAAAGCAATAGCAGTCTAAGCTCGAGCTCGAGCTCGAGCTCGAGTTCAAGTTTGAGTTCGAGCTCGACTAGCTCTTCTATTGATAGTGAAAGCTCATCATTAGAAGAAGAATATACACAGCGAGCGTTAAAAAAGCGTCGGACTTCCGAAATAAATGGTCCTTGCAACATTTCAAACCACGAAGACAAGCGAGTGCGTTCAGAACCGAAAAAAGAGCCACAACGGTCGTCGTTGAAGCGTAAGCGTAAAATTTTTCCGCCAGTAATACCTCCCGAGTTTGCCATTTTTCAAATCGAAGCACAAGATCCAATTCTTCGAGGCACATATGGTGTACGGAGCAACCGTCGTGCTTCATTTATCGGAAACTGGGGCTTTTCCATAGAAGACTTCAGAAATCCTGAAAAAATTAGCCCATTTGAGTACACTTTACGCACACGTGTGCAGCAACCGCGTCGTAATGATGATAAACACCCGGTGTCTGGCAAGTACGGAGGATTCTTTAAACTGCGTCAGTTTAATGGATCGCTCGTCAAAGTTAGAGAAGATCAATTAGATTTACAATTTCTACCAATGCCGTCATCTGATGAAGAAGATGAAGACGAAGTGATGGAGAACAACGAAGGAAGTGATGATCCAGTCGCGAGCCGCTATATTGTGCTGGGAAAAGGAAAAAATCGCTTTGGCAGATTTTTGATTCGAGGATATCTCAACCCAATCAGTGGCCAACTTTCAGTGACTCGTCGGTATCTGGAATAAACAGAAATTTATGAGGCTTTTTCGAGCCAAAAGTCTTTGTTTCGTTTTGGTAGAGTAAAAGCGCAGCGAACAATCGCTACAGTTGCACTACTTACTGTGAGATAAACGTGAATCTAGATGCAATTTATCACAAACGGACCTTGGAAACCAAAGATATAGTCTTTTTGTCTTGAAGTCCCACGTTGTGGCAATCATAGTGGAATCCCGTTTTGTTGTTTCACTCGTTGACCTAAATGAGTATCGCAACCATGAAATTGCTGCGTTTGAAAATTATAAGTTTCATTTCCGTATCGAACACGAAAGTACCAAATCCTTGGATAACATTCACGTCCGGTAATTACATGCTTGCTACGTTGACTAATATAGTATAGTAAACTAATTGCGTCTCCTCAACACTAAATGATGACACTTTGTAGCATATTTCTATGCAAGCGATTTGTCCATGCACATAATAACATGCAGTGTGACTTCCTTCCGTGAAACATTGTTAATGCTGTGATTTTCGGAAATTCGCTAAAGTGCCTACCTTATGTATAGTAAACGAGACTACAACTATTCTGCAATATTTTAGCTTCAAAACCAAAATATTCATTTTTACTCGAAAATTTTTCGCATGTATGCCTCGTTTTTAGCCACAAATTCAGTTCGAAAGTATCACTGCCGAACTGAATTCCTTCTGCACCATACACGGTCCATTACATTGCCGGTATGGGTCATACCTTTGTGTTCGTGCATGGGATAGTGGTAGCTCTACTATCTATTGTAGCTGCTACAAATGGCACAATACCCATACAGAGTGTGCCATTTACTGATGTGGGTGTCATCAAGAAGGAAGTGAGTGAAGCGGTGCCATTTGACGTCAGAAGCGAAGATCGAGGGCTTCAAAAAGCATGGTGGAAGTTGATTCATGCGAATCCCGAGAAAGTTTATAAAAAGCTAAAGCTCCACATAACAGAACAAGATATTTTCAAGCACCCCGAGCTGGAATGGTTTGCCAACTATATGCAAAGATATTACGTGAATCAGGACTCTGATCTCTTATTGGCTAAGATGGTGGCAAAATCTCATAAGGATGGTTCGCTGATGAGATATATCGAGGAAGCAAAAGTGCGATACAATACTCGAGACAAGACCGATGAGCCGGAGGCGGCAACTTTTATTCGCAACGTAGAAAGAATCGAAGCTGGTTTGCATAGATACTGGGAACTCCAGCGCTACACAGTGAAGGATTTGGTGGATTTTTTTATTCAAAGTGGTGAATTATCCATGGAAAATGTAAAACGAGCATCACATTTTTTATTTAGAAAGAACTTGTTCACAGTTCTGAAAGCTTATGCGATTAAAACAAACGTGGAGGATCCAGAAAAGGCTGTAGCTTTGGCTATAGCGGATCAAGTTGGCCTTGATAATATGGCTTTGATGATCCAAGAGGCAGATAATCCCCTCGCAATCAAAACTTTGACGATCTTGTACGAAGATTTAGAGTCAAAAAAGAATATGCTATCAGACGTTTTTTATCGACTTCAATTGGGCAGCTTTGAGCTTGACAAGAAACAATTTTTCAATGCCCACAAATTTTTTTCTTGAAAGGTTATGCAGAGTATATTGCAAAAAATCAAGACAGCAACTTACTTCTCATTCGTGTATTGGTTGAACATTACGGGAAAGAGGATGCATTTCGTGTTATTCAGAAGGCAGTCAGCAAGAAATCAGAACTAGCGAGCTCCTTGCGTAACTCACTTTTTCAGCAATGGTTTGATAACAAATTCCGAAAAACTGATGAAGCTCTCAGGACAGAAACGCGATTTCCTATTTTCAAACGAGATGAGGCTGCTAAATTAGACATAACGCTACAACAGGCATTCATCAAAGCTCGACCAGTTTAAATAGCAAATGCTCGATTTAGAATAGCAAAGTGAACAAAACAGCGTAGCCAACGTGTGTCAAGTCGACTGTGGTTCGTTGATTTTAATGAGATATGTACATCGAAAGCCAGATAAAAGAATAGAATTAGACTTAAGACCAAATGTTTTAAATTGTAAGAAAGCTCACTGAGATTAAGCTGTTGTTCAGGATTCAGTACTCAATGTTGAACTCGTGGCATCACTGACCAAGTAAAAATAAAATAAACGGTTGTTAAGACACTGGCAAGGCTGATAAGTAATTTTTGCTTCAGTGAATACTTCTATCTTGTAAGTAGCAAGCCAATCAAGTAATCCACGTGCAATTGCCACACACGACGTAATGATCAATATCTACTGTATTGATCATTACGTCGTGTGGAATAAAGTAACAATCTTTTCGTCGTGTAATGGAGTTTATCACACGACGAAAAGATTGTTACTTTATTCTGCTTCATTCGACCACAATGTATTGTTGATGATCTTGATATTGTGTCGAAAAGTCTCACATCGGGACACGTAGATGAGGTGGACAAGATAATCTTTTAGATCAACTTGGAAGTGAACCGAAATGAAAAGTGCAAGATCGCACCACTGCTGTAGGATGAGATTAAGACATACTGACAGATATAATCTCTGAGTTTCGAGCTTCGCCGCTGTGCGTCAAATGGGACGTCCAGTCAAACAAAGATGCGATGATGTCTTATGATATTGGCAAAGATCTTGTACATACACTAAGAACATTTTCTTGTAGGCTCATACCTCACGAAAAGTAATGTGCCAAACCATTGCATTTAGCCATTGCAACCCTTTGGTTACTGAGTGTATCAATTGAATGTGATGATTCTCGGGATTTTCCGATTCTCTTAAGCAAAAAAGAACTCGTAGTTTCAATTTACGGCTGCTCAAACTTGCATCACTTACACTTCCCGACTTGATAGAATCGCGGCAACTTTACTATACTCAACAATCGATTTCGTCGAAAAATTGGAAGAAGACGATTTTGTACCAAGTCTGTATAACCACATACGACTTTCGACGAGCTAAATACTATTTTCGCTAGGACCAAGTTCTGACGACGTCAGAACTCCAAACAAATGTCATCGTCAAGAGAAAAAAAAACAGAACCAAATCAGTCATTTTCAAAGCTTTCTCATAACTGGTTCCGAGTACGTTAAATTGAGCCTCTGTGGACGTCATGTAATATTTGCCGAGGATTCCTTATGCTATGATCTCCTGCATCACTACAGCAAATCAAACAGAAAATATGTGCTTTATTCTGGTACGATGTCATTACTGTCACTCAGGCCGAACTATGAGTAAAAAGTCACAATCATCACACTGGCTTCCCAGCTATTTCGCTCGCATCAATGCCTTCACTTGGCAGCTCTTAGACGCTCTTGCACTTAGATGTCAATGATCCCCTGAGACTGTGATGTCAAGTTGCAATCGACATTGTGGTGGTCGTTGATCGATAGAGAAATGCAATTACTCAACGCATCATATCGAAGGACGCAAATTTGTATCTGTGTTGAGTACTCACACACTTTTGTAAAGTCTCACTGTTGTGATCTGTCCATTAAACGTGTTTACAACTATATTATCTTGATACCATCTAGTCACTCTGATACTTTTGTTTCTGAGGATCTTGGTCTGTGGGGGAAATTTGCTATCATAGAGCACTTGCCTTGAGAGGTAACACATTCGCGATGATGACGTTTGAATCTCACTCTGTCACCAATCCGGTTGCTTTGAATGTCCGTTTCCAAAAATATTATGAAAGACCTTCCCAAGAGTCGTTCCCAATTCCCAAGCCCCACGTAGATCTACTGTCACACTTTCAGTTTCGTTCGAGGAAGTGACGCCCTTCCAATTCAAATTTGACGATTTAAAAAGAGCGTCTTGTGATACCTTCAAGTCGCTCTATACCGGTTGAACTCGTCAGGATACTGCGCATGACGATCGTACCAACGCTTCTTAACTTGCTGGAACTCATGCTACAGATCACAGTGACACCGAAAGCTCCATGTACAAAGTCTATGACGAAGGCAGTGCTTCCACCGCAAACAAGTTGGACGTGACAAAGTTGTTTATCCTCGTCGACCAAATGCAAAGAAATACTAATTAGGCGAGCAGGCACCTGAAAAAGGATAGAAGTGTGGCCGCGATGCACTCAAAAGCACAAAGTTCATGTGCCTTAAGATCTCTACAATCCAGGACCAACTTAAAATTGACTCGAGATTGACAACTACATGCATGTCGTGTGCTCCTCGAACGTGCCCGCAGTCCATCAGCATATCCACCTATCTCAACTCCTTTTTTAAATCCACTATCTAGCTCAACTGATAACCGCAAGGCAGATGCAATAATTCCTTTCGTGAAAGTATAAGAACGCGCTGATTATGCACATCCAGGAACCCTACAGCCGAGCACTTGTAAGGAATAAATGACACCTACTGTGTGGCAGCTGAAGTGGAGCATCCAGGCTTTTGGATCCGGGAAGAGATTTTTCTACCACCGGTTGAGGAAAGTTTGGGTGACCATTAATTTGATACGGCTTAAACGTGGCGAAAGCACGCTGCTTATGATATGAAAAAAGGCGATCGTGTGCGAGAATGGACACTAATGCGCAACACTTCTATAGAATAGGCCTCTCATTTTGGAAGAATTAGAGCGAAAGATGTCGCGGGTACGACAACTAGCAGACTACGACCAGAAATTAAAAACTCTGATCGCTGCAATGACGTCAGACCCCTCGCGGGGGCGGATGCAGTTAACATGATATCGAAGGGTCGCCAAATATGTGCGGCTCGCACCAAAACGTTCCGTGTGAGCCCTTACAACTTTGCGAAAGCGGTGGGTGTCGCATTGTATACAAAGTACAAATTCCGTGCTGCAAGGGCCATATAAAATGAAAACTCTGCGAGCACGCAATAAGGAGTTGACCCAGCCATGCAGACGTATAAGAGAGAGATCTCATAACTATCGAGAAGCTCCCTTGTACTCGCTGATGTTTTTTTCTGTGATAGCATCTGTGGCATACGTGGTCATTTGATCTCGGCTGAGAAGAACAAGGATTTGGGCTTTCACACAGACTCGTTCAATGAATTGATCTCGAGAGAAGCCAGGTATCAGTCAACAGAACTGACTTGAATTGTATCGTAAAGATCGCAATGAATCTAACTCGGGCCTAGTAAAAGAGATTCTTTCAGTTCTGGCATGTTGGCTGTTGATAGTAACGTTCTGGACCTTGGAAGACCTTGATAAATTTAGAAGCGTAGTGGAATTTCGTTCGACTCGCAACTGTCAAAATAAAAAAAATACTACGCGGAGGAAATGATGATACCAAATGCAAATTTGTTTTATGTGTGCCTTGCGATGGAGACACTGGTGAAATGTCGAAGGTCATGTTCGACTACCTGTAAAAGCTGAGGGCTATGGCAGCGTAATTTAAGCCTCGTACCGAACTTGTATTGATGTGATTTTATACTGTGTATGACATGGGCCGACAGGAAGTCGAAATCTACAATTGCTACGGCATTCACTCGTGTTACGGTTATTGTGAGTCAAAACCTTTCTCTCAACAGGAAAGCAAGATCGACCTTGGCGTAAGCATTGAAGCTAAGATAGTTTAATTTAGGGCATGAAATATTTATTTCATTTTAGTAATGATGCTGCCAAGTGGCGTGAGCAAAGCTAGGAAGGAGGTAGCGACAGTGAGCCTCGGTCTTAATGAGACAGACATTAACGATAAGACGTACATCTACCGAGAAAGAAATGAGCGATGGTATCTCATCGTCATCGTCCCCAGAGTGTCTCCAAACAAGGCGTTTTGTTACATTGATTAGCTGTTTTTTTTGTGGTAAAGGAGACAATTATGAGTGGTCATATCAAAATCTCCTGTACCATATTCGATGGAGATTAGAGCTGTAAGGCGCAAGTAGTCAAGCAGCCTCAGAAGCGAATGAAGACAGTTCATTCTCTCATAATGGAGCGGATGTAATAGTCATCACTGCGCGTAGCGTGCAAGGCTATCTGCGTTATTGGCGACAAAGTTATTCACATTTACATTTAGTGACTGAGGTAGTCTTAGGGATTATCAGTCTTCCTCATTCATACCGGCAGAGCTTTCGTAGATTTACGAGGCCAAAATAGTACTTTAGGTATCAGAGGAATAGCAGAGCACGTATCCGTCATAGTTGAGGTCGTCATTGAGTAAATCTCCGAGCACTGTGTGCGAAGAGCCAGACTGCTATCAATAATGGTCTGACCAATTCCCGCATCCTTTGTTCAAAGAATATTCCGACATGGTGACAGGACACCCAGAGCGCGTGTTGCTTCCGGACCAGATAGCGCTTCATGAAAATGACCCAATCAATACTAAGACACATAATCATGACCCCAGGCAACATATAGTGCGACGCCATAGACCTTTTTTATCGAAAGCAAGAATTGGGTTTGGTAAGAAAGAGTTAATCCTTATCCAGCATATACTCCCTGGCTCGAAATGGCTATAGGCAAGTGGCAAATTATGTAACTACAGGCATCACTCCGACGTAAACATAAATTTGTGAATGCATATGCTGCTAAACAGCATATTTGGTTGCACATTGTTCGGTTCTCAGTTATGACAATTGTAAGATGCTTAAGTGCGGTAATGTCACTTCTCTTACTACAAAATGAACT